TGCACCCGAGGCTACTACTGCCCCCCTGGATCATTCCAGCGCCCCCCAGGTGGCGGTATCGCCCACTTTGGGAACCTCTGATCTAAATAGACAAGCAAGACAAAGGGTGGGAGAAGATAAACAAAGGCAACCAGAGGTGGGTTCCACTCCACCCTCAATAGTCCCTCTCCGTTAGTTCTCAGGTAGTAAATTACATCCAGAATCCAGCCCAATATTATATACATATATATAAAATGGGGGCTACTAATGCCACCTATTATTAACATTGCCCAACATTACCTATTATTATTACTTCCTGCTGCCTGCAAAGCTCCTGAGAAAGTAGTCATGAGAGGGCTTCTAGAGCTAAATTGTTCCCTCAGTTACACCAATGTAATCCCATTGACCTGTGCAATTCCAGCAATTAAATCAGCAGGGTTTCAGTTTGTGAGTATCTGTTGGCCCGTATAGAGAATTAGAAGGTTTTAGACTTCCTCCCAAGGCACCAGAAAGATGAGACTTCTGTGTACAGGGTCAGCCACCTTATGTATACTTTAACAAGAACTATGCAGTAGGAGCGGGATATCCTGTTTTAAATAATAAAGACAATGAGAGACAAAGACTGTAGCTCTATCTGCTTTTCCTCTTGATTAACAGAGTAGGAAACAGGATCCTGGGACTTATACCCACTCCAGTGTCACAGAACAAGAGAATCTGAAAATGGCTGCACACATGTACCACTGTGCCACATTTACTATTTTGCATGCTCCTTACTCTTGATTAGAAATATATAATATGATGTCCACAGCACACTTATCTTAAAAAAATTAGATATTTTAAGATGGTATATTTCTATATATTGGGCATGTGACTGAATCCAATATACAGCAGTGTTGAACCCCAATGCTAATTTTTTTTCTTATTTCTGTACCAAATTTAAGCAGCTTTCTGTAGATAGCAGCAGCCAGTAAAGTGGTTCAATGTACTAATACTTCCTGCTTTAGTTTAGTGATGCTTTACTCTCTGTTGCGGTGAGCTTGAATCACAGATGGGGATTAAAAACAAAGAGATTTGTATTAAATGCACTCCTGTTGGCATGAGCTATCATTTATAATCACAAAAGATAGCAGATAGTTTAATGGGTTGAAAATTTCAGATAGGTGAAATATACATTATATATTGAATTAGTGCCTTTGAAGTGTGCAGCTGACTCAGAGAAGGGTCCTGAGTGTCACTGAATTCACGGAGAACAATTGATCACAGTCTTCTTTATAACAGCCCTTACCATATTTGAAGACTGTTATCCGGTCCACCCTCAGGCTTCTTTTCTCAAGACTAAACATGCCCTGTTTATTTAATCTTTCCTCATTGGTCATGTTTTCTAAACCTTTTATCATTTTTGTTGTTCTCTTCTGGACTGTCTGAAATTCATCCACATCTTTGCTAAAGTATGGTGCCCACAGATGGACAGTACTCTAGCGGAGGCCTCACCAGTGCCAAGTACAGTGGGACAATTACCTCCCATGATTTACATACACCACTGCTGATAACACACCCAAGAATATTAGCCCTTTTCACAACTGCATCACATTGTTGACTCATATTCAATTTGTGATCCACTATAACCCTCTCCCAGATTCTTTTCTGCAGTACTAATGCCTAGCCAGTTACTCCCCATTTTGTAATTGTGCATTTGATTTTCCCTTCCTGAATGAAGTACTTTGCACTTGTTTTTATTGAATTTTATCTTGTTGATTTCACTAGTCTCCAATTTGTTAAGGTCATTTTAAATTCTAATTTTGTTAGACAAAGTGCTTGCTATGCCTTCCACCTTAGTGTCATACACAGATTTTGTAAGCATACTCTCCACTCCATTATCCAATTATTAATTGACATATTGAATAGTATTGGACCCAAAACAGACCCTTGCTGGTCCCCACTAAATACGTCCTCTCAGTTTGACAGTGAACATTGATAAATATTCGTTTAATATAGTCTTTCAACCACTTGTACACCCACAATATAGTAATTTTGTCAAAACCACATTTCCGTAGTTTGCTTATGAAAATATCACATGGGACTGTGTCAAAAGCCTTATTAAAATAAAGATATATGACATATACTGCTTCCCCCACTATCCTCTAGGCCTCAGTTACGTTGTCAAAGACAAAATTAAGTTTGTTTGGCATGATTTGTTCTTGACAAATCCGTATTGACTGTTACTTAATTCTTTATTACCTGTAGGTATTCACAAATTGATTGTTTAATAATTTGTTCTAGTTTACTTGCATCTGAAGAAGTGAGGTTCTTACCCACGAAAGCTTATGCTCCCTATACTTCTGTTAGTCTCAAAGGTGCCACAGGACCCTCTGTTGCTTTTTACAAGTTCATCAAAGATAATCTCTAATGGTTCCATACTTCCTAGATTGCTTCAGCTAGTTCCTTAAATATCCTAGGATGAATTTAGTCAGGCCCTGCCAGCTTTAATACATCTAACTTATCTAAATATTCTTTAACCTCTTCTTTTCCTATTCTGTCTGGTCTTCCTTTCCCCTTGCTGTTAATATTAGGGCTTTTTTACACTGGCACTTTACAGCACTGCAACTTTCTCGTTCAGGGGTGTGAAAAAACACCCCCCTGAGCTCAGCAAGTTTCAGTGCTGTAACGTGCCAGTGTAGACAGTGCACCAGCACTGGGAGCTATGCCCCTAATGGAGGTAGTTTTTTTTTTAGAGTGCTGGGAGAACTCTCTCCCAACACTGGGCCGCGACTACACAAGGCACGTTCAAGTGCTGTCGCGGCAGTTGCGTATCTGGTCACTATTAATGTTTTTTAATGAAGACTGAAATAAAAGAGGCATTTAACACATTAACCTTCTTGATGTCATCAGTTGTTAGCTTTCCTTCCCTGCTAAGTGGAGAACCTATACTTTCCTTCATCTTTCTTCTGCTCCTAATGTATTTATGAAACCTCTTATTGCCTATTATGTCCTTGATAGGTGTAACTCATTTTGTGCCTTAGCCTTTCTGATTTTGTCCCTGCATATTTGTGCTACCCATCCTTAGCAATTTGTCCATGTTTCCACTTTTTGTAGGATTCCTTTTTGCTTTTCAGATCATAAAGAGTTCCTGATGGAGCAATATTGGCTTCTCACTATTCTTCCTATCTTTCCTTCACATGAGGATAGTTTGCTTTTGTGCATTTAATATTGTTTCTTTAAGAAACTGCCAGCTCTCCTGAACTCCTTTTTCCCTTAGATTTTCTTCCCAGGGGACTTTACCTACCTGTTCCCTGAGTTTGTTGAGATTTGCTTTTTTGAAGTCCATTGTCCTTATTCCGCTGCTCTCACTTCTTCCCTTCATTAGAATCATGAAAATGGTCATTTCATGATCACTTTCACCTAAACTCCCTTTTTTTTCCTGCCTGCCCTTCCTGAACTATACCCTCTATACCAATATTCCAGTCATTTATCCCAACAACTCTTAGTGATGCCAATTAAGTCATAATTTAGCTTTGATGCTAAGACTTCCAGTTCTTCCTGTTCATTCATCATACTCCTCACATTTGTGTATAGACAGCTAAGATGTTGAACAGATTCCCCCACTATTTTCCCTCTTGGTTCTTCTATGGCCCTATTATAAGTTTCCATTTCCCCTTCAACTTCTAGCCCTCTTTTACGGTCATCTTTTTTATACTTACCTGTGGGCTTTCATCACCTCCCCTTTTTGGACCTAGTTTGAAGCCCTCCTCACTGGGTTGGCAAGTATGTGTCTGAAGATGCTCCTCCCCTTGTTGGTCAGGTGGACCCCATCTCTTCCCAGCAGTTCTCCTGCCTGTAACTGCATCCC